TTCATGTCTTTGAAAAATTCCTCATTTTTTGAGTTGTTGTTGAGCATCCTTAATCATTTGTCCCACATCCTCATTTTCTGGTGTCTCCTTTATCAACACTTCACATTCTTGTATGCATGCTTCCCATTTTCCCATCTAGTATATCACACACAAAATCTTCAATTATATCAATCAAAGAAAAAAAAATCAAATAAATGTTATTTTTAATACACTAAATAAAACACTGCAAAAGAAATAATCTGAAACATAACTAATGTAAGCATAACTGATATCAGCATTACTAATATTAACATTATCAATACACCATATTCGTATCAAAGCATAAGGAAAATGAAAAGTTACCTTAAAGTAACAATCAGCCTTCCTCAACCTAGCTTTGGTGAAAGATGGTCTAACATTAAGGGCAGTATTGCAATCCTCAAGTGATTTCTCAAATTGGCCAAGTTTTGACCTGCAAGCTGCTCTGTTGCACAATAAAACTGAGTTGTGTGGATCATGCTCTAGTCCTACACCATAAGCAACACTAGCATCTCCATATTTTCCACCTTTAAACAACTCATTTCCCTTTGTTCTAGCACTTGCTACTGCCTTTGTTCTCCTAACTATCATGTTCACTTCCTTGTTGTTCCCATCTAGTTGGGATGCTCGTTGAGCTGCTGCTAGGGCATCGTCAATCCTATCATATAACAATCATAATAAGTTGATAGTAACGATGGAAATATAATGTCATGTTTAGTTGATTGGAATATGGCATATACATATTTAGAGCATTCGTATGACCGAGTTCAATTAGTTTGAAATTGAGACATACTTTATTGATTGAGTCTGTTATTTTGTATTTTATGTAAGACGATATGACTGATTGAGACGCATTATTTTGTAATTTATTGTCCATAGAAGGAATATTAAATAAGCAATGTCTTGAAAACCTTGTAAATCAATACTTAGGTTTTTAAACTACTCGTGTTGGCAAGCATGAATATTGATTGAGGGTGATTTACATATGTCAAATTGAACCTACAACTACCAAATACATACTCAAGTACTCTTCTTTTTGGTTTCTCTTTTCTCCTACACATAATTCTCCTTTTGAGTTGTTAGCTAAACCAAACATTTTATTTGTTAGACAATAATCCAATACTAATTAAGTCTTTACTTTCTGTCCTAATATTGGTTATTGGCATCTTTAGGACCACAACTGCGACCTAGATTGAATACAATTTTTTATTAAAGGGTGGAGGTGTGAAATGTTGAATAGTTTGAAATCTGAGAACTAACTAACCTGCCAGCAGCCATGTCAACTTGAGCTTGAATGACTAACAAGCCTGCATTGCCAATAGGGCCAAAGAACTTTATACATTCATCGATATCAAAATTCGGACCATTCTTCAGAGTTTGATCTGCTTCATGGTATCTATGGAGCTTCACCAACGCCTCCGCTTTCAAAGCAAATATCTTCTTTTTTTTTATCGATAGACAACAAAAAATATTTAGCTCATGACACTAAAGAAAAGAACAAATTCTTATGGTTTAATGAGTAAGATAGTTAACCTGTGATGCAGAATCTGCACCAGCCGATATGGCGAGGGCAGATTCTTTAAGAAGAGTGTTCCAATCTCTTTGCCTCTTCGCCTCAGTACACTTGTTGAGATGAATTTGGATAGTTTTAGACTTTGTCACAACATCAGGATCAGCTTCTGATGCGGCTTGTTTGTAATGGTACATAGCTTTCTCTGTGTCTCCTAATCTAAATACGAAAACAATAGTCATTTCAACAATTGTAATAGTAATTCATGACGAAATGAATAGTATTATTTTTTTACATTTACCTGACACATAGGGTGGCCAAACGATTATGAGCTCTTTGATAATGAGGATCAATTGATATAGCTTCTCTGCACTCAAAAACAGCTTGAAGAAGCCTTCCTAAAGCAGTCAAAGCAGCGGATTTGTTGCTTCTATAAGAAGCCTTATTAGGATCAATTGAAATTGCAGCATCATACAAAGCTAAAGCCTCAGCAAATCTTCCATTCTTGTAATCCTCATTTCCAAGAATCTTCAATTGCTCAGGGTCCATTCTTGTGGATAAAGCGCGACAAAGGGAAACAGAGCCCCCTGTTTTCCCCTGCTCTTGATCACCCTTTTTCTTTACCACATTACCCATAACACTCGTAGGATATTTCCCATTCTGAGATGGTTGTTGTGGTGGTTCTTCTTTAGCCGTTCTTGGTAAATAATCAAGAACATGATTAGCTGTTGAAGTTGTTGTAGCACCAGTACCATTGCCCCCACCTTGCTGCCTTATGTTACCCAAATTACCAAACAACATCACGTTGCTAGACGATGCACGGACTAATGTATTAGCTCCCTTTGATCTTTGATGATCTTGTATCATGTTTTCAAGCTCCCCTGATAGCCCCATTGATGGCGGAGCTACTTTTCTTCCTTGATTATTATACCCTTGTTGTACCCCTTGACCATTATTTTTCTGCTGATTATAAACAGGTGCAGCACCTTGCAAATTACCCTTATTCGCAGCTACCTTGGATTGATTTTGATTAGGTCTTGGTATGATCCTATCAGCTTGTTTCTCGTTGTCACGATTGTCTAAAAAAGCCTCGTTGGATCCATTACGATGCTTTTTAGAATTTTGAGTACTAGAAGATCGAGTTAAATTGTTAACATTATTGGAATTTGGCATTGGAAGCGAACCTGTTGATGTTGATCTTTTTGTCCACATATTTTTCCTTCCAAAAACCGCGTTCAACAGGCCACAACCCGTTTTCCTTTCATCAGAAGCGTCTCCCATTATTAATTAAATGGATAGTTGAGATATGAAATTCTTCTGATGATCAACAAATGTGGCACCACATGAAATTTAGTACTTATCAAAGGAGCTTCTTATGTAAGAAATAAGACTTGTAGGCCAAGTTAAAAAAATAGATAACTCACCAAGAAAATTAAGGACCCATAATGTACAAAAACAAGATGTTACATTTAATGAAATTGGTTGTGTGAAAAATGGTAACTGCCCCAAGGAGAAGAGTACATAATTGTCATATTCTATGTATCTTTAGAATATCTTTTTCTTGTTTCTTTTTTTAGTGTTTGTTTCTCTCTCTTTCTGTTGGCAATGAAATGATTGCATCAAGAAGAGAAATGGAATGTGAAAATTGATCAGAGAGGGAAGAAATAAGAAGAAATGGGGGTAAATGACACAAAAATAATACTAGTAATGATGAATGTATGCAAAAGGGATTTTTTTCAACTCCTTTTCTTTTACTTTTTTCTGCTTTTCTATTTGGTTAAAATTAATTAATTTTTTTTTTTTTTTTTTTTTTTTGGTGTTGGTTTGGTGTTTGTGGTGTAATAAGGGAGACCAAAAGACTCGGTCATGGAACAAAGGAGCATCTCAAGATATTTAGAGGAATAAAACTATTTAGTGTTGGCAGAATCTTTTATTTCATTATTTTTTATTTTCTCTTCTTTTTTTTTCTACTATTTTTTTTAAATCTTTTTTGAACAAAGTCAAATTAAGGAGAGGAGTTCACGTAGGAGACTTTGAGCAGCTCACGTATGGCTGCCAGCTGTTTTCTAATTCTAAGGGTTTTGGAGATGGTCCACATACCTACTCTTGCTTTATTTTTCCATTGTTTTAGTAGAGCGGTTTAAAATCGAACTGAAGTCGAAATTAAAATTGAAAAATATATGTTGATTTATCGTTGATAATGATTTTGACTTTTTATATTAGATTGTCGATTTTTGACGATCTGAGATTTTTTTAAAGGATTAACTGATAATTCGATAGTAAATTAATAAATTGTATTTATACATTTGGTATACAAAGTCCTTGACTTAAGTTTAGTTTCATTCTTTCAAATTTGACTATCTCAAGCTCTCGATTATTCTATAATATGTTGATGTTTATGTAATATGTCAGCCCATGTGCATGATTCATTTGGTTTGTCACCTTGTTTCTAAGTAATCTTCAATGATTTTTTTGTGTGTTAAATCTTAACGGTTAAATCAATAATCGAATCGGTAACGATCAATAATCGATAAACTAATATCTTAATGGTCTACTTCTATAATGGTTTAGCATGTAATGATTCTATAATGATTTAGCATGTCTACAAACCGATACAAATAAGTCGAATCGATAAACTTCAAAACTGAACGAACCAACCAATATGCAACCCTAGTCTTACATTGTCTAAGTAAGGAAAAAAAAAGGTTTATTACATCATTCTTGAACTTGTCAGTAAAATCTTTTTCTGATTGAGCATCTAATCATATGATAAAATGTTTCTATTAGACTTTCTGATTTGAACTTATATAAAAGTTTCAGTATGTGTTCTCAAAGGCTTATTATATAGATAGGTTAATCATTTAACATAGTGATCTCCTTCAATTAAGCATGATTAACATCAATAAAACGTAAAATCTTGAGTTTATCTCAATTGATGTATATAACTAATAGAGGCAATGTATATTATGTGGTTAATAGTTACTTTATAGAAACTTGAGAACACACAAAAATGTTTAATAAACACACTTTATCATGTGTTCAAAAGCTTAATTTAATAAATCATAATTTGAATGTCTAAATCCATTTCACTGATAAGTTTAATGAATTGTTGAATTATTAAACCAAAAAGAAAATAGTAATATTGTCACCGTTTCCCATCCACGAACTTCTTTGTGTCTTCCTTAATGTAAATGTCTGTAAGTGGACTTTTAAGCCTTGAAGTACCAATAACCATGCATGCACTCTTTGAGAATTGATCAATATAATTTATAATGTAAAGTTTCAGCACTAGTTTCTAATTTATTTATATATAGATAGAAAATTAATATACTAAAAAACTACATACTACATTAAATTTTTTATAAATCACAAGTTCACAACTTCATGTATTTGAAAAATAGTTTTTTTTTTTTAAAAGTCAAATATAGAATTATCAACTTTGGATTGAGCACATCAATTTAGAAACTCAAAATTCAACTCCTTAGTCTCTTTTTTGAACTCGTCTGCATGTTTTTTAACAATGCCTAAATTACATTTTCTTGGTTTCACTTCTCCTAAGAGAAAAGTAAGTAGCTATATAGTCAACAATGAGGTTGAAATTCAAGAAGTTACCCTTCTTCAGTTAATGTTTTCAAACTTGACTGAGTCTTATATCCAATTAATTATAGAATGAAACTTTTGCTAGGCAACCAAACAGTCACCTACTTTGTATTACCCACCGACCAGGTCCAAATTCATTAAGCCCAGACAAGAAAAAAGGTGGCAAAAAGTATCAGAACCAATTTGCTAAAAACTGAAGATATTGCTAGTTTTCTTCTCTCTTTTTTTCCAAGCCTCTGACCATCTAAGCATCAGAGAAATTTCTCTTCAAAACTTTTTCTGAACTAGTAAATTGTTGAGAGATGACTAGCCCATCTAATCGAACTCAGCTGCTACAAAGGTCCTTAAATGGCCACGACAACAGGCAAAAATTGAACGTCTGGCTCCACCTATTAGGGGACATGTAAATGTCAGATGTAAGAAAGGTTTCATACAAGCATGAGAACCTATTAAGGGGCATGAAAATGTCAATTGTGAGAATGCAACCTTAAACACTCACTTATTGAGTATTTGAACATAGCAACTCCAAATAGAGCGAAATGAATTACAGGATTCATCTAATAGATCCGCCTCGCATTCAATAAAACGGGGATAGAACATGAGAAACCAAAGTTAAAATTCTAGGTAAAAAAACCAAGTAATTTCTTTCTCATCTTCTAAACCTTGGTAGAAAGAGTACCCGCTACTTGTACTAGCTAAAAAGTAGCAGATATCTTGTAGCAGAAGTTCCCAGGTACTGAAGGTAGGAATTTTACCCATCCCAATAATTCTTAAGACAGAACTAATGGTTTACAACACACTTCATGCATGTGTACTGTACTTGACATAATAGTTAAGCAGAGTATCAGCTTATAAGCTCAGCACAAATCAACCTAGTAATGTTCTCCGGCTATAAGTCGCAAGCTATTTTTACACACTAGGGTACTGTACCTGATACTGCTCATACACTAAGGGGTCGTTTAGTTGGATTCATTAAAAAAAACAATCTCCACATAAAACCCCACATAATAAATACAATGTTTCATTACTTGTTTTCTTTTCCTCATAACTGATACTTGCATAAGTGGTGCGGGAATCTATGTATTAATATGTAGGACAGAACGTGAAATAAGAATGCAGGTATTAGTAGTAACACCTGGATTAAAACAAGACAAAACTAACCCTCATATAAAATAGCAAAAAAACTTATATTTGTTTAAGAAGATAGCACATATATCAATTATACACTACTAATTTGTAATATATCAACTAAACATCATACAAGAAATAATCTACGTGTTATAATCCCTACACTACTAATCCTTGCATAACATGTTCTAAACCCATGGCCCCCAAAATCTGACTAGTTATTCAAAATCTCTCAAGATGCTGATACAAGGTGATAAAAGTTTAGGATGGAGCAAACAAAAGAGAATAAAAAAGTACATACAATGTTCTATGATAGCAAAAGAACTAAGGATGGCTCCTTTCTAATACTTTAGTACTTCTTTTATTAAGTTACTCTGCATCAAACTCTTAATCAATCTGTAGCTGACATTCATTCTGCAGCCAACTCTTTTTCTATTCTTTCCATTTGATACGCTAAACCCCAAGGCCAGACCCCACTCAACTTAGAAGTCAGGAGTTATTCTTGACTTCTTTCCCCACTTGCTCCCTTGGTGACTGGGACCCCCCAACGTCAAGGTTTGAGGCGGACTGTCCTTTCCACTATATATGGCAGGAAGATGAAAGAAAAACATGTTCTACATACTAAAAGCTATCTGCTATAGCAATTTGATTAAGAAATGACAGATTTTCCGCAGCCAACATATCTGGGAACAATAAAACATTTGGGTGACATTTTTCATGTGATTTTTGCTACAAATATAAAATAGAAGTAAAACACATGGATCAACCTTTTTCCCAAACTATTTTAGAGTAAAATGTAATATTAGACTTGGGATTTAAACAAGACAATAAAGAAGCTGACATCATCATTATTTGGACAGAAAAGAATTTTAAAAAAAGCCCATTCCTATGTCTCTCATATGGGTTTTATAGTAGTAGTAGTTCTATAACCATACGTGACTTACTGGAGCCCTTTTAGAAATAATCTCTCATGAATTTATTGGTGTTACGTGTTTTTCTTGGCAGAAACAACTTTTGATAGAATCTACGTTATTTTCCATTTAGTGTGTTTTCATTATTGACAAAAATTTAGCAGGATTTCTGTCCCTATTTCACTGTCTTCATATTTCATAATATAATGTTTTTAGGGTCTTATGCAGATAAGTGAAATCCTTTTCATTTTTATACGACGGTGGGGTCTGTGCCAACTTGCACGCACCTCGACTATTCCCCTGGGTACCTGCTGCAGATAGCCATGGATTGGCCAAGAGGATGATAATACAACATTTAACAAAGAATTGGAGAAGATCTGTACATGAAAATGGTAGACAAACAAGGTTACTAGCACGTATATTTATTTTCTGTAATGAAGTTGTACATTTAGAACAAAAAAATGAACTATGACCCTTAGAAACCATTGAATAAAACATGATGATGAAGATATGTAAGGGTAATATAAGAACCTAACCTAAGTATGATGTACTTACTTCGCCAAATCCACTTCGAGTATTGCTATGTCTCAGCTTTCTTTAGCTCCTTAACTATTGCATCGGCCAGTTCCTCCCCACTGTATTCCACACCAAAGCATCTAACTACTTGCATATTTGGATTCACCAAATACCTATTACATCAATATACATCTGACTCTGTCAAATTGCTCTAGCGCAGGTAAAAGAAACTGAGAGTTTATTCTTCCATAGTTGTAAAGAGAGGGCTTCTTATTTGACAATATATAGGACTTGAGGCTTACATGTTGTGAGAAGATTCTACCAGATAATCATCTCCTTCTTCATCAACCTTCTTAAAGTAAACTCGGTATTCCTGTGCCATCTGTCTAACAGCAGCAACTGGTCCAGTTAATCCCATTATTCTTGGGTCAAACTCTGTGTTTCATGCAAATAAAATCAGCACAGCTTAAGTGTAGGAAATAAACATCAAATAAAAGGAGACAACTATAGGATTGAGCCTTTTCTCTTCAAGCCCACCCCCCGGTTGGGATCTCTTTCCACAATTCTTTCAACCAAGACATTCATTCCAGAACCTAGAGAGAGAAAGAGATCAGAGAAGCTAGATCCAGACCTTTAAGATAAGCTCGAAGTTGCGAAGGCGTATCACGTTGAGGATCAATTGTGACAAATACTGGGAGAATCTTATGATGATCCTGTTTTGAACCTTGTTTACATTAAGCAGAAAGGACCACAAAGCAAAAATAAAATAACAACATCAGCAACATAAGCCAGTAAATAAGAAAATATAATATCCATTCAAAGAACCCGAGTTGAACCTAGAATATCAGTAGTTTTAGCCATCTTTTGTACTTCTGCTGGACCAACATCAGGAGATGAAGTATAACCAAAGTAGAGAAGAACCCAGTTTCCCAGCAAGTTGCGCTCGGTAACCAAATGGCCTTCTGTATCAATCAAGCTGAATGGGCCGCCAATGATTGGCCCTTGAATTGCACTTCTTTCAAATTTCTCGCCTTGACCTGAAAGGCATGAAAGCTTTATATTGTGTACCAATCATTAATATTTATGGCACTACAAAACTATCAGAAAGTAAATGCACGTGGTACTTCAAAAAGAGCATGATTCAAGTGGACAAACATACCAACACTTTCTGATAAGGAAACATAAAAAGAGAGAAAATAGTCCAATAAACTAGAAAGATACCGAGACTGCCATAATAAGTCTATCAATGATCCAGTATGCGGCTATTTGGCTGCATGATAAGTAGGACTCAGGGAAGAAAATAATTTTAGTCTATAGTTCTGGACTTTTAGTAGATTAGAAGTTTAACAACCAAAAGAGGCTTTATCTCTTGTGCTCCATTATTAAACAAAAGCTGATAACCACTTTAAGTAAGGAGCTATGATCCAGCATATGGACTCAGCCATGTACCACTTCTTAATTCACTACACACCTACATCCTTAATTTGTTTCTTCATTTTTTGTTTCCATCTAAAGTATTAATTGCAGCATTCAAAAGCACATAATCCGCATTGAGGTGTATTTGTATTGAAAGACACATAAAGCTTTGCTTAAAATATATACCCAGAGCCCCACCTTTTGGAATTGCTCTCCTTTCATCAATATAACGAAGAAAAAGGAGCAGTCCACCGAATCCTCCCAAAGCAGCTCCAGGCTGCAAAGTAGAAATAAGATGAAGACAACTGAGATAACGGAGCCATAGACAACCGCACAGAGCACATGCAACAACAGTCACAAAACACATCAAAAGGAAAATGGAGTTCAAATGCAATACTAATATATAAGGTTTCCAAGATTTTGATGTTGATGGTCCAGTTAATAAAGGCGGATCATAAGTCTTTCTAGCAGACCTCATGCAGCTGGCTGAATGGAAGCGCTTAGGTGGGATAAACCTACACATGAAACAAGTAATCAGAAAAATTGCAGTGCACTCCATAATTTGAAACTGAAATGGTTTACTTTTATACTTCCTGTTCTACATGTATTTGAGTCGTTTCTTTTCTCTTTTCCCCCCATTTCTTTTTGAAAGGAGAAGGCAGTATCATTGAAAGCATCAGTGCGCACTTACAGGGCTTGATTTGCATCACCAATACATCATAACTTGTTTAGGAATAAAACTTGAAACGACTTGTTCCAATTGTAATTGAAGTGAATGTCTATAGAGAGTTCCTCTCTTCTTGCAAATTTTGGATTCTTTTGCCAGGATAATTGCAAGTAAATTCAAAATGAAAAAAAGAAATACGTCTTAAGTCCATACTAATCTCTCACAAGGTAATAATGCATTATGCATATCTCTCCTCATAGATACATTTTATGCATTCAAAATGGGCATTTTCTGTAGAAAATAGAAGTAAAAAAGCTCCATCTACACTCCCCTACTTTTAACACATCAAGCTCACAACAGTGGAAGTATCATCTACATTTCAATACTTTACTGTCACATGAAGCTGATGCTCTCTCGACTAACTAAAACTTTGGACAGGTATAACTGCAACTTTAGATGAGTCAAAAATCTTACAAAGCTGAATCTGATGGAGAGTAAATTTAAGAAATTCTCCACATCAAGCTTCTGAAGATTGGAAACTTACAGTTCTTTTTGACTTGCCGTGAAACAATCCTCTCCCCCTTCCCTTATAGCAACAAAAGACTGACGCTCCCCCAACTTAGCCTCTATGTGAGGCAGTAGTAATTATTTGCTACATTTTAGACTTATAAGTTTCTCCCTTATTTTCCTGATGGAAGTTGCTACTAGTCATTTACTCACCATCCTCCCAAGTGGGATTCCACTAGGTATGTTGTTGTTGCAAGTTACTACTAGTCTCTTACTCAAAATCAAATTTTGCTCATGATGGATCTTACAACCTTATAATTACAAAATGCCTAAGGGAGAAACTAGAAAGAGACAGTTGGCCACTATAAGAAGTACATAGTTACGGGTGAAAGTAAGAGTTGTTACGCATAAACTGAAACTTCACAAAGTTTCCTTCTAAGGGGACCTCCATGTCTCTTGGAGAAATCCATGAGCCACATAGCATGTTTAATCTATCTATCCAAGACAGCCTCCCCCTGCTACCAATTGAAACTCATGAACCCAAAACACCACAAGTAACACATTAGGTTAGACAAGTTTTAATTCTACAAGACCCCTTAACCAATGTTTATCAAAAGGAACTTTAGTAAGCCATGTTATAGCTGAAATCAGACATAAAAGCAACTTTGACGATAATGCCACCCACACTTCCACATTTCTAACAGTCATACAATTGGAATTTTAACCTAGATATTTCAAATTTTGCTTTATATTAAGTATCATCTATGCAAAGGTACTCTCAACATTATTATTTCTAGTATTCAAGTTTAAGGCAAAAGATATAACTAACTCCGCATCAACCATATTAAATGCAATAGAACACTAGAACCAGTGTGTTCATCAAAATTTGTTTCTCCTACTATTCAACCAAGCATCAATAACATCATAATTAGAGCTTTCACTAACATATTTTGTTCTCTCATAATGCTATTTCAATCCGTCCATTTATAAGAAAATATACCAATATTGTTTTCTCCAACTTCATTAGCAACTGGAAAGAAATTAGAAATGCTTCTTACTAAGGAGAAGTAGATCACTACAGTTTCATCTCTTCTTGCTTACTTCCCCCTTCCAACAACCAAACAGTTTGAGGTTCGTAAAGGGACGAATCTTCTCACATTTTTTTCTCAAAATCTAAGTAGATTAGTAACAAACCAACAGACTACACAGAATATTTGGAGGCAAAACACTACAAAAACCATATTTAAACAAAAGAATAACCAAACCAAACTATAAAATTTCCATAATACAGAAAAAAGTTATAGAAACACAAATTACCCATAAAAATCGAAACCATAAAAATTCAAGAAAACCAAAACCCATAAAATTTCAACAGTGTGTGATTGAGTATAGATTATAAAAAATGCACATTACCTTTCATATGTATTAAGGGTCTGTATAGAACGGTTCTTGATTGAATTTAAGAGAGACCTGTATACTTGCATTTTGCAAATAACTTGACAAATTATGTGAAGTAAACAAAAATGGGTATCTTAGAATTGGAACTTATGGGGTAACAAATTGCACTATTCTCTATACTAATATCTTCTTTTCTACTGAATATCAACTGCAAGGGTTATGGAAATCCTGCGAAGAAGGTGATGAGCAAAACGGCACCGTTTTGGACTTTTGCGCCAAGATCCTTTTGGGTGACTTTTCCCACAGGTATAGAGATAAATTTATTCTCTTACATATATTTTTTATTACATATTTCTTCATGTAAATTTTGAGGCGACTTAGTTCCCGCTTTGGATTTGTTTATGTTTAGGTGCTTTTAATTTTTAAATATTTTTTAAATTTTAGAGGTACTTGAAAAGGTTAAAAAGTTACTTTAATCCTTCGATTTTAGGTAAAAAAAAGATATAAAATAAATCAAAGGTCAAAAGTAGGATATCTTCTACTTGTAACTTTTAACTTATAAATTACTACTTTTTAAAAGTTCATTCAAACAAACCCTAATCTTTAACAATCTTCTAAAGTAGTTAAGCTTTAACTTTAAATTAAAAATTAAAAATAAATATTTATTTTAGTTTCTTGAAATATATACTACAAAAAGTAACTAATAAATTTATATAGATCACATATAATTTGACGTGGGCGTGACATTTTCACTTACCTGATGTTCCATCTCTACTTTATGAAATTCAATTTAATCAATCAGTAATAAGTAATGAAAGACATTATGTTGTGAAAATCTGAAGATGGCCATGAGCCAGATAGCTGATATAGTAATGTAATTTGAACTTTGAAGAATATCTATAACTTTAAATTAAAATGTAACTATAACAATCTTAAAGTGTGAGCATAGACAAACTACGCTCACACTTTATATTTGCTACGTGCTATAATAGACTTGTACGTGCTACAATATATTTTCTATGAACACACTAGATTAGGCTTGCCCAAAACGAGGCTCGGGCTCAGCTTCAAGATCCTCGATTGGCTTCTCAGTTAAGTGAATAGTCTTCATCTTGTTTATGGCATTAGCAGGATTAAGGCTCTTCGGGCAACATGCTGTGCAATTTTTTATAGTCCTGCACCGGTACAAACGCCCTTGGTCCTCTGTTATTGCCTGCAATCTCTCATTTGCAAATTCATCTCGACTAAAGAAAAAAGAAAATTAATTATCGGAGTGAAATGACCATATTTTTGGTATTTATTCGACTGGTGTTTTGAAGAATTAACCTGTCCGAGATCCATCGATAGGCATGGAGCAAGGCTGCAGGCCCAAGGAACTCCTCGGGATTCCACCAGTAAGAAGGACAAGAAGTGCTGCAACAAGCACATAATATGCATTCATATAAGCCATCAAGTTTCTTCCTATCCAATGGTGTTTGCCTGTATTCTCTCCCATCTGGGGGCGGTTTTCGTGTCTTCAACCATGGCTCTATAGACCTGCAAACACCCACAACATTCATTTTTTGCACCATGCTCCAATGTATATATAATTGTCGATGTGAGGCCGAATCTATCACAGAGTTCAACTCAACTGATGAACTCATTATTAATTCATTGATTCAGTGTAACTATATACGCACACACCAAAAACATTTAGAACTTGTAGACATAATAAGATCATCCATTCTAGACCTACTCTGCTAATTACTCTAGATTGCAGATTCACATCTATTGAAAATGAAAGGTTATAAAATATAGGCTTAAGTCATCGACAGCTCTTAAAGTTGTCCGCGTAATTCACTTAAACACCTTAACTGGGGCTTGTACATATTGAACACCTTGACTATTATGAATTAGACACTTTGTGCACACGCGGCACAAAAAGTGTAACCCACACCTTGTTAGGCGCGTGAACCATTTAATCAACACCTTTTTAGTTTTTTCTTTTTTGTTTCTCATTATTTTTTTTAAAAAAATAACAATCTTTCTTTCTTCTTTCTCTTTCAAAATTGCAGACCTGTTGCCACCAATTATTCATAGCAACACCTTACATTTTTTTTTATAAATTTACTTCTTCTAAGCTTATGCTTAAATTTAATAAAAAATGGAGTCAACTACCCTCATTTCCTTTGTTAGAAAAAATGAAAAACATAATCTAAGTTTTTTTGTCGGAAAAAATGGAGATCACCATTCCGAAAAATATGGAGGCCCCACACACTGCCTTTGATCCACACCCCTTCTTTCTTCGTAACAAAATAGAAACAGAAAGTAAATTTGAAATCAAAACAAAAAGAGAATGAACAAATTTTATTTTATTTTGAGAAAAAAAAAATACTATCGATTTTGAAATAGGAACAAAAAAGAAAACATTAACAGAAAAAAGAAGAAAATAAATTCATACTTAGTTATGTTAAAATCTTCATTTAGAAAATAACAATGGTGGACAAGAGGTGATTTTAGTGTATTACACGCACTTCCTCTTTTGACCAGGTCTTAAAAAAATGTTTGATAGGTATTTATTTTTTAAGATTTGAGTGTCTAATAGGAAAGGGGATATGTTAAGGTGTCTAAGTGAATTTTGCGGACAACTTTAAGGGTATGTAGATACTTAAACCTAAAATATAGGTATAGTGAACTTGAAACAGATCTAGTCAATGACACTAATTAATTAAGATTCGACTATAAATTGTTGCAAGTATTTGTACATGCAAATATTCTCCATCCGTCCCGGTTTTTGTAGCATACTTTCCTTTCGAAATTGTCCAAAAAGAATATTACACTTTTCATAATTAGAAACAACTTAACTTTAAAATTCCTCTTTTATCTTTCATAAAAATGTCTTGAGGCTTGCTTTAGACCACAAATTTCAAGAGTCTTAGTTACTTTCTTGAACGTCATGTACCTAATCAAATAGTGCAACATAAATTGAAACAGAATAAGTACTACTATAGTAGTGACTACCAGAATCTTTTTGAGTAAACTTAAACAATAGGGTGATATTTCTAAACATCAATGTCAAACATGGCATGTCTACATCGAACATTACTTATGGACGTATAATCGGAATTAAATAACTTGATGAAATGAGAAAAGGAGAGGGAAATTACTTGTACTGGTGGTAGAAATTAGAGAGATCAACCACCAAATCTTTGATAACAAACATGTGAGGAAGAGGAGTGATGGTAGTTAGCTTGCTAGTGTCTGTATCTATAGGCTTGAGACATGCTACGGTGTTAACACCATTTATGTTCATTGAGCATGATCCACATATTCCTTCTCTACACGACCTTCGGTAACTCAAACTCGAATCTTCCTCCCCCTTTATCTTTTGCAATGCATCCAGAACCTATAAAAAAAAAAACATTTACTAAATTGAGTGCGTCTAATAAACTTATTATTAATAGTACGCTCATACTAGTTACTATAGATATAAGACACTATTAGGCTCGAAGCAAATTCTGTTTTCCCCTAAAATTTACAACAAAGAGAAAAAAATTATATTGCACACCTAAAGAAGCGACTTCCCTAAATTTGGAAAAATTTTAACCTGAAGTCAAAGCTAACACATAGTAAATGTTATGATATGTGTCTAGGACTAAATCATTCCTTCTTTTCTTAATCTCCATAACTAAAGTCAAAATAGGTTCAAAATCCAGCAGAGACAAAATATAAAGCAATTTTTTTCTCATTTGTCAAAACATTGAGAACCAAACCCACCCAAATACTCATAAAATTAGTTAAAATGCGCACGAGGACTATCATTCAATTTTCTTCAAACTAAATTGAATTGTATTATTTTCAATCAACTCTTGTTCTCCTTAATTTATAGTTATAAGAAATGTTCATGAGGTTCTAATGTTGGATTTTAAAAGGTGTGAATGGAAGATGAAGAGTTGCGACTTTTATGAAAAATTGTGACTTTTATGAAAAGTTGTGACGTTTATGAAAGGTTGTGACCTTTCCGAAAGATTATGACTTTTCCAAAGGTTTGTGACCTTTCCGGTAAGGCACAATAAGAACCTTTTCACACTACCCTTTGTTTTCTATAAATTGAGGGATTTCCTCTCATTTTAGTTGAACGAATTTTGCTCGACTTTTTCTACTACTACTAAATCTAGTATTTTAAGTGTACTTTACTGCTGTTGAGTGGTTCCCTGACACCGTGATTTTAGGTACCGATATATACACCGGTGAGTAAGATCATTCTATCCTGGAGGATATATTCCATTAACCTCAGGTACTTGAGGGGAATAATTTTCTTAAGGGGACACTGTGCATTCAGTGGGCTCGATTTTATTTCTTTGAGAAAAATATTTTTATATTGTTTCTGATTCTATTTTCTCTACTAGTTTTAATTTTCTAGTTTGAAAATACTCTTTAAACTTTGTTGTTTCTTACCAAGTTCTTCAAAGTTTTGTTCTAAGTATCTTAGGAATACAAGATGAACAACAATCTTAAGAAAATTAGTATACTGTTGGTATTTCTTGTATTCTATTAATTGAGAGAAGCATATCATGGAAGTAGAAGATTAATGCATTACTTCTCTAGAATTCGGTGCTTTGTTTAGCAAGGTCGAAGTGAGAATGTACTAGAAGAACTGGTGGTATTTCGGTTAAAAATTACACTAGGTAACCTTCTTATTATTTATCTAAGGAGGAAAATAGTTTCTAAAAGTTAACAGTTTGGAAAATAGTTTTTAAAAGTTAACAGTTTTGATATCTATCATGTATGTCTTTGGAAAAAGATCTGCAAACCATATGATTTCTGAATGAATTTTCCTTGGCAAAAAGTGTTGCCTTTAAAATTCTTTAGTTTGCAGAATGAGAGATGCACATTTTTGTTTTATAAAATAGTATGTCAAAATGTTATAGTTGGAAGACTATTTGAAAAGAAAAACATTTCTATGTGACAATCTAAGAATATGTTTTATTCTATTTGGAGTAAAAAAAACTTTTATAGTTTTGTACTCCCTATGAATTTGATTATGTCTGATTTTTGTAGAGTAAAAAAACTTTTGTAGTTTTCTACTCTGGATAAATAAGACTATGCAATTGGTTTGAAGAATATGAAAATTTCATCTAATAAGTCAGTGTTGTACTTTTTGTTTTCTATAAACTTCACTGTTAAATAGAAAAAATTGTACAAAAGTATTTGTCTTTATTATTAGTATTCTAAATACTAATTGGTATGTCTAATTGTGATAGAAAAAAGACCAATGACTTAAAGTGTGTGATTTTGTGCCTGGAATAGGTGCCTCTAGGAATGAACTTTGACACTATGTAAAGATTG